CCCATAGACAGAGCTCAGTCGTGGGGCGGGATCTACAGTTGTCTTTCAAACTGTCTCCACACGCTATTGGAAGATAAACAACATGACATACTCACCGTCATGGATGTTAGTCAACGGGGTAGTCCACCATACACTGTCGAAGAAGATGCAAACATGTTATTTTTCTAAATAAAGGACCTTTATCTGCTCTTGACTCAAAGAAAAGCCCAATTATTCCAGATTTGGCACCAAAGCTGTTTAAAATCAGCCGCTATCGTCTTTTATCGGTCATTCTATAAAAGAATAACAGCAAGATATGTATTTTAATAGCCACTTTATCGCATATTAAACCAAAAAATACCATTTAAACTTCAGCTTTTAGGATGTTGAGTAAAACGTGAATCTCTGGGACGCGACATCATCAAAAGAAAGGAAGGGATAAGTTCAGACAAAGCTTTTATAGTTTTACAAGGGAATTTTCCTCAAAATCTGACTTTCATCATCATTCCTGCAAAGCTGATTCAAACCAGTGATATTAACCTCCAGCTCAAAAGGACTGCCTCTGCAGCAGGAGGATCAGAAGATGGATATTGTCTCTTGGGTGCCAAGACTATTTTGGGAGCCTCTGAGTTGTCCCTGAGCAGCCTGTGATCAGCTTTGTCATCAGGTGTGAGAGCGACAACACTTTCTGTACAGAAGTGTGGGTACACCCTGACACACACACATCAGGAAAGTAATCCCTGGTACTTCAGGGAAAAGGGAAAGAGAAGTACAGTTTCTCTACCCTTCTTCGTTTGTCTTTCTATTAAAAGGAGGAGATTGGAAAATCAGGACTTCCTGAAAAGCTGAAACTAGGTTCTGAGTTAGGAAAGTTGTACATCTGTGTATTCTTCATTCAGTGTGTGTAATAATGAAATAAATACAGATTTAATTATAAATAAATATAATTAAGAAAATGTATCACAGACTGAAAAGATTTCTTCGGTAAAAAAGCTAACTTAATAGCTGCTTGTTACGCCCTTGATGAACTATAAAGAACTAATAATGAGTGTTTGTACCTTTTTAAAGGAATTTAGTTTCAGTCTTCTTCATAGGATTTTTTTAAAATCCAGCAACAAGAGGATATCCTAGAATAAAGTCAAAAATCAGAAATTCTCCTTCAGGATTTTCCGGTAGACGACAGAATCTGTGGTTCCATCAATGAGAAGTTGACCTGAAACAACAAAGCTGCCCCAGATCATCACACATCTACCACCATGTTTGCCTGTTGTGACCATTTCCCCCCTAAATGCAATATTAGTTTTACACCAGATGTAAAAGGACACACATCATACAGAATATTCAGTCCACAGAGTTTTCTTTCCAACAGTCGAGATGATTTTGGCTAACGTGAACCATGGCTGCTGTGCTTTTTCTCTGCAGAGGGTAGTCTTAGAACTCTCCCCAGTTTTGTTGTCATTTAATCATAAACTTGTATCTTTACCATGACCAAATGAACCCTATATGGCTACTGGAATTGTTCTGTTTTTTTCTGTTATTAAAGTAACACTAAAGAGTTTTTAAGACATGAAGCTATTGCTTTCAAACTGGTTTCAGTGGTTCTTCAGCCAGAAACTTGAGCAACTTCACATTGAACAGCACTCTGCTGCCCTCTCCTGACCATAAACGGCACTAAACCATTTTCTGGGTTCAGGTAGGAACACTAGTGGGAGGTCTCTACTTGGTTTTTGGCAAAAGTTGTGCCAGTAGCTTATTTAAAGGCTAGCAGTTAGCTTTTTCAGCTCACCGACCATCAAGAAAAAACACATCAAAAAAGAATAATTTAGCTTTTTGTTTGAATCGTGGTGAAGCAGAAGTAAAGGTAAGAGGGTAATGTCTCACTAAGAGCTAAAACCAGACTGAAAATCTGTGCAGCCTACACTTGTTTGAGGGAGCTAAAGGAGGCTACAAAATGGTGACCTGACTTTGTTGCAAATGGACTTGTAAGTAAAAATATTTTTTGTCCAACAGTGTGGATTATTTTACTCTGTGACTTATTTAGTATCAGTTACCTCGTGTTAGTGTTAGCTTGTTGTTAGCACATGCTACAGCAGGTTGCAGCAGGGTTGTTTATGGTAGTTGTAATTTCCTTTTCAATCAGTAGGATGAAGGATGGAGAAGCGGGGAATCTTATTAAGTGTTGCTTTAATTCCCTTCAGAACATGGAATGATGTGTTCCTTTTGAGATCGTTTAGCATATTTCACCTTTTTAACCCTCTGGACGTTGCAGATTTGCAACAGTTAAAACCTACCTTCCTGGTTTCTCCACATAGTATTTCATGAGCATTTTTTAACTCAGAAGTACCCCTGAAGGACTTAGTTGTTCGTCCTTTTATCAAAACGTATTTTGAGCCTGAGAGGGTTAACAGGTTCTACTGCATCAGTCATTAGGAGTGGCTTTGACTACTGATGTTGAACTCAGCTTTCCAAATTACAGCTAAAGAGACAATCTGTAATTTTTACCATTCATCTCTGGAATTATCCATCTAAATGTTGAAAATGAAAAAATTATGTACAGGCATTGAAAAGTATTCGTAACATTTAACCATAAAAATTGCGTCCGAAAGTACGTAGGGCGTGGGTCTAAGTCCCTTTCTTTCTGGCCGGTGTCGGTACAAGATCTGCTCGGGTGCAAGATCGGCTTGGGGTCCGTCGACTGCCGATGACGTCAAAGTAGTTGATTGGCTGAACATGAACCTTACGTAATTACGCAATCACGTTACATTGTTATCACGTTACGTTGGTCCAGGCAAATTTTTCTGTTGGAAAGATGGACAACTTTTACAAAGAAATCCATCATTACCTCTTTGAAAATACACTTTTAGCATAGAGCTGCATGTATATTAGGGCTGAACGATTAACTGCATGTGCAATTAAATTGCGATGTGACAAAAGGAGATTTTCTAATCGCAAAGGCTGCAATTTGGCAGCGAGTGGTTAGCGCAATGCTAATATATGTGGAAAAACCCATAGGAATGCTAATGCTAAAATCACTGATTACATTCTTACAAATTATGAATTAGAAACTTGCCAAATGATTACATTTGGAGTCTAATAGAAAGTAAAACTACCATCAATCAAATAAGTACAGACAGGTATTTTAGTAAAGCCAGAAAACTTTTAACTCCAGAGTTTTGGCTAGCAGCTATGAGCGTAACTGAACTACGCACGAACAAGACGTCAAAAACTAAACACAAAATACTTCAATAAACGGGACACACACTATACGTTATAAAAAGGAAATTGATGTTAACTGTACATTTTGTAACTCTGTGAAGGAAAATATGTCTCATTTATTTTGGTCATGCTCATACACAAATCTTTTCTGGCAAGAATTTAGCATTTTTGTTGTTTCCTTAATCTTTTCTGAGTTCTCTCTTTGTTATGAGGAAATATCGTTTGGTTTCTTTCAGTACCCTAAGCACAGGGCAATTTATTTGATTAATTTATTGATATTATTAGCTAAATTTCATACACATAAGTCGAAAATTTCTAATGCAAAACCATCCTTTCAGTGCTTTTTAAATGAAACCAGACAATATATAAAAACCATACAACATTCTCAAAATTTGAAAGCTGTCAAAACCATAAACTTATGTTCCCTGTTCAATATCATGTGATTCTTTGTTAGACTGTTTTGTTTTCTCATAGAAACCCCCTGACATTGTGCTTGTTGTTTCTCTGTACTTGTATTATGTGCTTCGTCAATAAAGCGTATTCAAGAAAAGAATAGTAAACGGGACACACTTCTTTCTTGCAAATACAATTTCACAGGTGTTGCTAATACCTATGATCCTTCAAGGGATGTGCTCAAAGAGGAGTTCAGCATTATGAATACTATATAGTGTTTTATTTTACAAATACCATTATAAACACAAACTTATGTCGTAATAAACATTATTTTAATAACGAAACTGCTAAATTCTTTCCAACTGTATAGATGTGTATGTATTTTGTCCGAGTGGGTTTGCCATACTTTGACGTCATCGGCAGTCGAAGGACCCCGAGCCGATCTTGCACCTGAGCAGATCCTGTACCGACACCGGCTTGGGGTCCTGCACCTGTCGATGACTTCGCACTAGATGATTGGCTGGATGTACGACTTATGGAAGTAGTGTCACCACCTTCAAAATCATTTAGGTAGTAAGAAACATGAATTTAATAACAAAACTGCTAAACTCTTTCCAAAACTTATGTGAAAGAACTGAATCAAAAAAGAGATGCAGTATATTTTGGCCGAGCGGTATTGCCGTAGTATGATTACGTCATCGGCAAGCACAGGGCCTGAGCAGATCTGGAAAGTACAGCACCAGAAAACTAGAATTGACATTGCATTCTCTCGATGGAATTAACTAAAGGACCGTCAAAGTCAGAGGAGTCACTCCAAGGTCGCATGCTCTCTGCGCCACAGGTAACAACATTTACAGTAATGTTTTTTTAAACTAGTGACAGTCACAGCAATTTGGTGTAAAAGTACCCTGAAATTTGTGTATGTACTGCCCCCTTGTGCCAGAAAACTACACACTGCCACTTTGGGCAGTTTTGATTTGCTTTTACCACCCCTAGTGTTCCGTTAGTGAAAACAAAAGTGAAACGTATTTGCTTGCTGTGTGTTTGTCTTTTTAACATTGTTTCCTCAGCCTTCATTCGTGTCTACAGGAGTGGTTCATCACTAGATAAAAAATTTGCTGTGTTAATGATCTAAAACGTGCAGGAAACGTGCTGGAAGCAGACTGCAGCACCAGGCATAGCAGCTCCACTTTATTCATTCTAACAGACCAGAAGGCACTCTGAAGTTGCAAGTGTGTATTCTGGCCACAGAGGGCACTGGGGGTCTGTGTGGCGTTTCATTAATTTTAGTACATACTGTCTCGAGAAAATGATTTAAATATATGAAAAAAGTTCCATAATGTGGTTTTAATTTATTATTTTTTCACCTTAATAAATTAACTTCTCATTGCATTTTTTCTGGAGAAGATCTGAAACATTCAAGGTTAAGTAGCCTTTTTCTCCCTTCATGGTCTTTTCTTCATCTTCATTGACTAACCACCCACGTGGATTGGCTAATTTCCCGCTGCCCGTGCGTCCTTTCTTCATTTGGAAGCGATACCGCGCACTGAAGAAGTTTAGAACGCGTGCGTGGACGAGCGCGAGAGGCTTGTGGCGCATTGGACAGCTCCGATCGGTGCTGAAAGAACCCAAAGAAAAGAGGAAGAGAAAGAGAGGGGGAGAGGGCGATCACACATGAACTCGTCCATCATCTGACCGAAGCCAAAGCGGAAGAGGGGGAAGACAACCTTCCGAGACACGCAGGAGCGGACAGATGAAACCTGCACGGCATTCCGCCTCATTTTCACGCTTCTTCCTTCAAAAACGCAGCTTTACCTGAGATCTTTACGCACCGCAAAAGACAGGAGAAAACGCCGCGTGTGATGAGTGTTGCGCGGTGCGTGCTCCTGAAGGATCCCCAGTCCTGATAAAGGGACCAAAAAGGGACATTAAAGACTGTCCACGGTTTATTTATATATTTATTTTATCATTATTGTTTTTTCCAGAAGAAAGTCGCAAAGGTGGAGCGATTAGAGCAGGGCTGATGAAGGGACCGTTAATCCTTTCAGTGCATCAAAAGCACCAGAGGGGTTTGGAAACGTGCGGATGGAAATCGGACCAATGTTTGGAACTGTTTTTGGTTTTATATGAAACTGGTGATTAGTGGCTCTGGCTCCTTTTCCCCACTTCAGAAATAAAAAGCAGTTTTAGTTTAATTTGGATTTTCTTCCTCTGGAGGTTCATGTCATGGAGGGGTGAGATTTGGAAACAAAACTATCATCTTTGTCCTTTTTTTCTCATAAATCTAAATGGAATTAGTTGAGTCTGAAGCCGTTTGTGAAAGAAACAGACATGGTACATGGGCACAGCTTCCATCACGGTAAGAAATCCTTATTTCTGTCAAAATAAATAAAAACAAAGTCCATATTCTTTACTGAAATGACTTTAGATCTAAAATCCACTGGATTAGAAATGGTGATTTTTAATCTAAGTTCACGTGAAGGTCACATCTTTTGCAAACATATATTTCTGCTGGATTCTGTTTCCTCATAATGGTCATATTTGATTTGTTTTGGATACAAATGATCACATTTTCTTTGGTTTATTTGTTATTAAAGAAGATTTTAATCAAAACAAGTTTATCAATTATATAATGTTGGTAAATTATGAGCTGTGTAAAAAAAATCTGATAAAAGCAACAAACTATTTGCTTCTGATCTTTTAGTTGTTGCAAGTCTACTCCTGCTTGGGTTGTCTGGGGCAACAAAGAAAGACTCAACTACAGGTAGAATCACCACTACGGTCTTTTATGCATTGTAATAAAACTTTATTCGTCGACCTTTCATTTCATGTCTTTGCTTTAAGTGAAAAACAATTCTGGAGTGAAGCCTGCAGGTCAGTGTGGAGCGTGGGTGAAGGAATCAGAAGGAGGGCTCTTTACTTCTCCCAATTACCCAAACAAATACCCCCCGAACACAGAGTGTGTTTACATCCTGGAAGGTGATTGTGACCTGATCTGATTTTGTGTAGATTGAAGATGTGGAAGTTTTTTTTTTTTAACTCTTGAGTTAATTGATTTCACTGTCTCTCCCCCTCCATCCCCAGCTCCCCCACGGCAGTGCATCGATCTACATTTTGAGGAGAATTACTCCATCGAGTCCTCTTGGGAATGTAAATTTGACAACATCGAGGTTCGCGATGGACCGTTCGGCTTCTCCCCGATGCTCGGCCGGCACTGCGGTCAGCACAGCCCACCGGACATCAGGAGCAGCGGCCGATATCTGTGGATAAAATTTGTAACCGACGGAGAACTGGAAGGGGTGGGATTTTCAGCAAGTTACAACTTCACAGCTGGTAGGTGCACGACAGCTTTATGGCTTCAGCCATCGTTTCCTTTGGGCCTTGACCTTTTGGGGGCCTGTTGCAGTTTTATCGATCATCTGCCAACACACTGCCAATAGCACCATTTGGCTGATTGACTTGTCACTTCTTTGGAAAGACGTTGAGCATTTCTAGGGTTTAGGGAGGTAAGAACCGACTGGCAGCTCTTGTACTTTTTGATTTTCCTGTTTTTACTGACACAAACCGAGCATTGGCAACAAATGATTCAGCAGAAGCAAATCTGTGGAATGCTGACTGAAACATCATCAGTCATTAAAAATCTCTCTGGCAAAGGAAATTGTGTTTAGAAGATAATTCATTTTGGTTAAAATAAACAGGAAACAGCAAATTAATGTAATTTTAGCGACTCACAACCGGGTTTTAAGGCACTACCGATGTTTTGGATGTGCTCGAGTCTCAGAAGGCACGATGCCAGGAAACATGAAGTCTTTGCCTGTTTGTTTCCACATCCGCCGCACCTGCAGGGGCGCTTTGCCATTGGATATTTGAGCGTGTCATTGTTTATATGACAAACACACATGGGGTGTAGGGACCTTTCATCCAATAAACATGCTAGCAGCTGCAGGCCATTGAGAGGAGCACTGTTGAGGTGAACAGGAGCAATAGAAGTGTGTGAAATGATTGTGTTTTTATGGAGAAATCAGAATGGCTGAGCTCCTTGTGGCACATTACTGTGACGAAGTATAGCTGGTAGCCATGAAATGTGGCTCTCAGAGCTCATCGGTCTGCTTAACTGCAGTAAAAACAATTGGAGTTATTTTTTTTCCAAAGCTGTATTTTCATTTATTTCTCAAAGGTTCAACCACAAGTTTGGCCTTGTAGAAATAAATTAGAGGTCTGTGCTTTATTTTTCTTAGGTTTTTATATATTTTTCTAATTAAAGTGAATATCTCTACTTGTCATTGGTCAGTAACTATCTGTATCTTGCTCAGTGGCTTTAGCAGTGCATGAGTGGGGTTCACTCGTTTAATCAATGCATTTGCAATGTTTTATAGTAGGAATGAATGCCTTGGAAGTCGTACTCTGGGGGAAAAAGCTCTGGTGCGCTTGTTTCAGGAACTAGAAGTGAGCCGCATCCGTGTTGAGCTTCAGACGACAGCGCTCCTCTGATTGGCTAGCAGCAACGTGACTCAACTACCGACTCAGTTTACGTTGATGTTTTATCGCCACAAATACAAGTCTGGAAGAGTTCTGCTATGTGGTGGAGTTGCTAACGCTAATAGTTAGATTCTGCTAGCTGAGATATTTTATGCTGTTTCCTGGACGCTAAACCAACAACAGCCTTCCCTGTCGTGAGTCAAAATGAGTTCATGAGTTTTAAGTGACAGTGTGATGTAGATCTGTCAGGCTTTTTAAATTCTAGAGTTTCACTGTCTATTTTCTACCAGAAGTTAATGTAGGAAATAGGGGTAGAAGACTATTTTCATGTTCAGTCTGCATGTTAAACTCAGATTGACTGATTATTGTCAGAAATAATAAAAAGATATAGTTTATTTTACGTGATCAAATTCCATCACTAGATGGTTGATATATGCAGATATATGATTGCTTAGGAAATGTATGTTTATTTTCAAAGAACAGTTGCTTTAACTGTCTTACAAAAGATTTCATTAGCCTTAAAAATCTAGACAAACTCTAGCAAAATATTTTGCTCTGCAGCTCGGTCTAGTCATGCTCCATTGTAGTCTCAGCAGGTCTACCACTAGCTTATGCGTAAATTTAGGCACTCAATGTTTGTAGAGAGACGTTGGGTGAGCTTAGCACCATTACGGCAGAGATGCGATGGAGCAAAACTTTCAAGATGGCAGCAGCTCGGGACTGGTGCTTATTTGAAACGGCTTTGCCATCAACTTTAGATGATTTAAGACTCGGGCTTTTCTTTGAGACACAAGCAGATAAAGGTACGTCTTCTACTTCTTCAACGGTGTATGCTGGACAGCCCTACTGACTGATTTCTGTTGCTATGGTTACTTCATGTTGTTGCTCTGATTGGTCCAAGTGCTGTCCAATTTCATGCAGAAACTGTTTGAAAGACAACTGTAGATTCCACTCCTACGACTGATCTCTGTCAATAGGCCGTGGCCAGGCAATTTATGTACACACATAGGATGGCTAGTCAGGCTTTTAAAGGAGTCTTCATCTGTGGTTGCCTAGACTTTTAGGGTTCTCTAATGACATTTAGGGGGTACTTTCTCTCTCTCGCATGGATCGCTCTGCTACCGTTTCTCGTCAGTATCAGCAAAGGGGAGGCCTGCGGTTAATTTCACTGTTATGCGTTGTCCATGTCAGCAGAGAAGGTAAGGCCGGGGAGGGGGGTGGGACCTTGCTTCATAAAACACCCAAGAATGCTAATGCCAGATATGACAATTCATTCATCTACTTATCAGCTTACTGTTTATGACCCGTATTTGCTTGTGATAGAATCGTCTGGTGCTGATCTGCAACTGGCAACAGCCACGAAAATCGCACAGGCAGTGAGTCTTAATTCTTACATATTGCACCTTTAATGCTCTTCCTCTCAGATCACCTCTCACCAGACAAATCTCTCCCTTCACAACACCATTGAGTTTACTTGTTTTAAGCATGGCAAAATACCAAATGCGTATTTTGAACAGGTTTATTGTGGTAAAATCTCACGTTTGCAACAAATAGGGACTCCTTCCTCCTCTCCTGAAAGTTCATATAAAATTAGACGTCATAAATATTTATTTTTTTATTATTAAGGGGCAAAATACATATATCTGCATCAAAAGATTCTAAGAGGTTTAAATGAAGGATCTTTTTTCACAACTCTGCCTTTAATGTGCATTTCAAGGATTGTTTCCTCCTCTTGCGTTTCCCAGGAGTCTCATTGAAATTTCGCTGGGAGAAAAAGAAAGTTGACTCTCGACCTGATAGGAGATATCTGTGGCATGTGATTTGCATAATTAAAGGAGATAAAAGTCTTGAATTACTCTGCTTGATACTCAGGAACGTGGCTTTGTGAATGGCGTTTCACATCTGCAGCTGTGCTTATTCAAGCAGCCGTCTGATGAATGGGAACGAAGTGGCAACGGAGGGGACAGAAACCTGCTCCTCCTACCGTCTAGCCTCAGATGTTTTAGGAGCAGAGAGATAAAACATTGTCTTTCCTTTCTCCTTCAGGTTCTCCTTTTCAAAATGTTTTATTATTATTTTTTTTTTTTACGACTAATGATATTTGTAGTGATGCTTTTAAAGCTCATTGATTTGGTAAAAACTAACCCACTTACCTTACTACTCCTATTATTGTATTAGTTCTCTTTTAAAGTGGCAGTGTGTATTTTTACCATTAATCTCTGGAAATATCCATTGAAACGTTGTTTAGACCTAATGAAATGATGTCTGGTCATTGAAAAATACTGGCGACTTTGTAACATATAACCATGAAAACTGGGTTGAAGGTACAGGTCCAAGTCTCTGGGGCATGCTATATTGGACACCATGTTTCCTTTTGGCTGGCTCGGGGTCCGGCACCTGTCGATGACATCACACTAGATGATTGGCTGGACGTGTGGCTTACGGAAGTTACGTTACCACGTTCAAAACATTTAGGTAGTAAGAAACACAAATTTAAGAGCAAAACTGCTGAACTATTTCCAAAACCTATGTAAAAGAACGGAATCGAAAAAGAGATTAAACATATTTTGGCCGAGTGGTATTGCCATAGCGTGAGGACATCATTGGCAGGTGCAGGGCTCTGAGCAGATCCCAGAAAACTAGAATTGGCATTGCATCCTCTCGATGGAATTCACTTTCTGCTGCACAGGCAACAACTCTTACCGTAATGTTGTTTTTAACTAGCAACAGTCACGTTGATACTGCCCAGAAATTAATGCGTTCCCCCCAAGCACCAGGAAACTTCACACTGCCACTTTAAGAGAACAAAAAAAAAACATATTGATGATTAGATTAGGGTTTTGCAACATTTTTGCTAATTTCTTTTTCCCAGTTTGCACATTGGTCATGAGAAATGAACCGTTTGCACATTTTTGCTGCTGTCTGGTTGAACCTTTTGTTTTGGCAGCATTTCATGTTCTTAATTCTCTCTCAAACTTTTGAAAATCCCATCAATGCATCTTCAGATTGTGCAAATTCAACACATTCTCACACCCAAGGCGTCAAAATATGACGTGTGTGACCAAGCGTCAATATATGACTATTCGGGACGCCCCAGCGCGTCAGGAGATGACGATCAGGGACAAAGATCTTACGCAGCGTCCCAGAGCGTCAGTATCCGACGTCGGTGGTGAGACGGACATTAGAACTACTTGTGAACTACTTAACCTTCCCCTCACCCCAATCCTAACCTTAAGGTCACAGTTTATGGACCTTAAGGTTAGGATTGGGGTGAGGGGAAGGTTAAATAGTCGAAAAATGTCCGTGTGACCGCGCATCAAACAGTGACGCCAGCGGAGCCACGTGACCCAGCGTGTCCCTGATCGTCGTCTCCTGACGCACTGGGGCGTCCCGAATCGTCATATTTTGACGCCTTGGGTGTGAGAATGTGTTGGCAAATTTCATTTCCTTAGCCTCTTGAAGCCTTGCACACTCCCCAATAACTCTTGCACCTTCCAGCTCATAGAACTGCAGATGTACTGTATATGTTGAAGGGCTTAATTTAAGCATTTAAAGCCCTCATATGAAATGTATTCAATCATATTTGGCATCAGAGGAAGCAGGAAATGCTGATATAAAAGACTCCAAATGAACTTGGCTGCCCCAGTGATGTGATGCACAATTTATCTGTCAAAGAAATTACACTCAGATGGCTAAAGCTCTTTCTTTGCTTCACCGAACTTTCATTGCAGCACATTAAGTGGTTCATTTTCTGCATTTTGTTCAATTAATAGTTCTTCATTTTAGTGTGATGGGTGACAGGGGCAGCTCGTTACTCTTATCTTTTTAGTTAGAGCTGAAAGGGATTTTAGGGA